ACTTCAAACAACATAAGAACAAGAGATCATATTCTTATCACAAAAGGTTAACGCGTTTACTTAAAATTTCAAAATGAGATTTGGGTATAACTTATGGAAAAGAATTTCCAAAACCAAGTGGATGGTTGGAAATAAAGGAATTTGTGTTAATTCAAAAAATAGGTCAGGCCTCTTAAATATGGTGTAAGAATCGGTTAAATGACCTTTTCAGTTGAAACATATGTGACTGAACATTCAATCCTTAAAACATTTTAATGTTTCAGTGCATTGAGGCAGAATAAGAGATTAAGATTTCAGTATTTCTGTTCTCATGTTTAGTTAAAAGTTTGGTTCAAAAAAAACACGGTAATTAATTTTAAAATAGAACTTCTTCAATTAAATGTTATAAATCTGACATAAACTCCTGTTGACGCTGACTTGTACTTAGTGATACAATGATACAATCCATGTCGCTATTGGCTTGATAAATGAAAGTTTCAATGGTTACCATTATATGAGCATTCGGTGTGCTAGTTAACGGCACTAAAAGCAACTGATACAATACGAAAGTGCCAGTTAAATTCTCTAAAAATAGGAAAATATTTTTTTCTGTAATAAATATCTGTATAAAAATTTTTTATTTTACAATTAATTTCTACATTTTAGTTAAAAAATAATTATTTTCGTTAAGTATAATAACTTATATGGATGTCTCTTAAAAATTTTTTGTTTTTTGTAATTTTTAGGTTGATGTACTTAAGATATCAAATGACATTTCCTTCCTCACATCAGGAAAATTTGATTACCATCCATCCATTTAAGTATGTGATTTCCTTAAGCACGTGACACCATGCTACTTCTCGATGAAATACGTTTTCCTCTGCGGTTGTAATTAGCATTTTTAGATAGCAATGAATCTTCCTTCTTATATCATAAAATTTATTAATGTTCTTTAACTCTCGAACTCAAAACATATTTTACGATATAATGGAATTGTGTAATATAAAATGTGTTAATTCTCGATTTTATTTTGTTTTTTGCTTTTTATATCTGTATCTGTAGTTTGTAAGTTTAATGACCGAAGTTAGTTTGATAAGAATTTAAATAAAGTTGACCGTTTATATTATATAAAGAGACAAATGAAATGCATTGAATACTACGTATACATAATTAAATTTATGTAAGTTAAAAATCATTTAAAGAGTATATTTCTGATTTTAATATATCGATGACTAATCAATAATATTAATCATTAATATAGAATTATACAGCAAAACCATGCTAAACTGACGCTCTCATATATGGACAATTCTCTTAACCGTTTAATATTGCTAGTCACCAGTTTTCGATTTTCATAGCAATTACTTTCATTTAAATAGATAGTTCTCTTAAACGGACAGTATCACCGGTCACATCTGTAATCACTTAAGAGAGGTTTTACTTACTATATTTGTATAAGTTAGTATATATTCTTCAGAGAATTGTTATCAATATGTTTTAACTTACATTATAAATTTTTTAAAACTAAATGTTAAATGTGGAAGTAACACATACAACTGCACATAACACGCCCACAAATTAATACATTATCGCAAGCAATTTCTTTAAATAGAGTACGCAGTACATAGTACGGGAGTACGAGTATGAGTACATACAATATATCACTCATTAACGAATAATCATCGTCTGCAATATGTTAAGTTCTTATCAGCATTTCAGCTGCAAAATAACGTTGTGCATTTGTTGAGTAATTGCAGATATGGTATACTTAATATTTAATAATATTCAATTGGAAATTAAACAATTTAACAAGAAAAGAAAAAAGAAAAAAATTTAATTACGAAAAAAAAATTCGAAATATTTTTGAAGTGCATGCGATAATGCAAGAGTCTTGACGAATGCACTTCTCTTCTAGCTACCAATTTTTACGTACGAGTTGAAGTGCTGAAATACACTTTGTACTGGATTCCGAGCCATAAAAAGAAATGCATGAATACTTCAATATTTTTCCTTTGAATTCAATTAAAGATGTTAAATAATGCGCATACAAATGTTTACATTAGGTTTTTTTTTTCAGTGTACATAGTATCTGTTAATGCATGAATATTTTTCAATATTTTTAAGCACCAGTACAAATATTTGTTTTTCTCTCTTTATTTACTTACACATTTGTGCTGTTTTCTTAATTTGGTAACGTAATATGAATTCCAGAAATTGCTTGGGTATATATTGTATTTACTTAGTCTCATTAGTCGTCTCATTGAAAACGAAAGGATTTCTGTTATCGCATAGTCAAAAGACTTCAATTTCATCATTCTCTACGATTTCTACATCAAAAAAAATCTCATAAATAAATACCGGGCACAGAACAACATAAATCATCAACAAAGCACCAAACATTTTTCTTTGTGTAGGATATATAAATACATATATACTTTATATGTAAACTAAGCATATAGGTCAGTAAGTGAATTCTATAGAAATCATCGAAATGTATGATATATACTGTATTCGATGTAATTAAATTCGTCTTAACATTTTGTCTAAAGGCAGGCGTAAACAATATTTACTTTTTAACCAATGCATGTCATCAATTTTTATATTTATATAGTTATTATTTTTTTTTTTTTCAAGTAAAATTAGTAATACTATCATTTATAAATATAATGCTTTGAAGGTCTTCACTTCGTAATGGAAACACTTCTCAATCCATAGAAAATTGACTTTCTATTAATTATTTCTGAAGGCTGATAATAATTAATAAATTTATAAAGAAGTAAGGTGCGGTATTTTTTTTTTTTTTTTATTATATACCATTATTATCTATTGTATTTGCCGCTGTTTTATCTATTTTAACAAATCAAACAGTTCGAAACAATTTAATAATATTATAAAACGATAATATTCCGATGACATGTTTAACTTGCACTCTTAGAATGTTTACAAATAATGATGACATTATTTTTTCCAGAAATTTGTGACGAATATGTTAAATGTATTTTACACTACTTCAGTAATCTCTTCTAATTTACCGAAGTGAAGTATTATAAGACTGAGACTTACGCCAATCAGAGAGTTGTTATAAGATGGGAATTGTAAGAGATACCAATCTGTTGTAAAAGATACTAAAAATGAGTATAAGTAGTAGTTAACCTTCTAGTTTATCGGTATGAGATATTATAACATGGGTATTTATCGCAATCGGAGAGATATTATGAAAAGGGGATTAAGTAAGGCACTAATCTGTGCAAAGTTGTCATGTGAACATAATTAATAGTTAATTTTTTAGCTTATCAGTGTGAGTTGTTATAACATGGAAATTGTTCCCAATCAGGTACAAGACGAAAATTTTATAAAATCAAATCTGTGAAAGGAAGAGGAAGGCAAAAAAATATTAACCACCTTCATGCGGAATTCTTGTAAAAGAACTAAATCAGTCACTATCCCAGCAGTTATTATCTTATCTCATGTTATTCTTCATCATAGATTTCAAAATGGCACAATAGTCTTCTTTTTGCATAAAAACTGATCATAAATACATCACCAACTATATGAACAATTAAATTATTTTTTACACTTAGTATCTTTTAAGAATTCCTTCACAATACACTGTAGTATATCATCGCTGAAACCATGCCATCATAACAATTCAGTGCACAAGTGGCCACTGCCTGCTTATCATTCCTCCGACAAAAAAGCGACAGCTTGGAATAACAAAACTGATTTTGCACTAGTACAAGGGAATTGTTTCTTCAACCCAATATTTACGAAGACCTTTAATCGTATACATCTATATAATAGAGTCCTTGAAATTGTACCTTCATAACGATTCGGTTTAGAATATGACTCTATTATTCCTATCACAGGCATAAAGGTGACAACATAGAGCAGCAATAATAGTTTGTTCTAACAGTTTTGTGCCAAATAATCACTTATTACGATTATAACTGAGGTGTGATGGAACTGTAATTCTACAAGTTACTGCCTTCTATTCAATTGTTTAACTATACAATCCATAGTCAATTAATTTGTAACTGACGTTATCCTTTATTTTAATTGTCTTAAATATCTATCATTTGTTATATCCTCTTTGAGTTGTATAATAGAGCAGCTATTATAGCACAAAAGCTGCCTAGTACGCTCGCGATCATTTGAATAGGAATTGTGTTACTCACAGTTACAGTGTAACTAAATAAAACTTCAAAAGAAATCATGTCATTTAAAAAAAAAAAACGGGCTATGTGACGCTTAAAAATTTACAATATACTAATCATTAGTTCCTGCCCAGTAAGTCAAGGCAGGAATAATCCTTATTCCCTTCCTAAGAGTCGTGATGTGACTGGAAAACAATGGCTCCCTTTACTGACAACTATGGTCATGACTTTCACACTGGCAAACCACATATCGCCACACATCGTAGATTAATAGGCTATTCTATAGGTGTTCTTCTAGAACTAGTTGTAATGCATCACAGTCAGTATAGTAGTTACAATGTCTTTTTCAAAATACAAATACTATGTCTTTATTAAAGGAATTTAAAGGTTGTTATAACTATTAAAAAGAGCATGTAATGGAATAATTCTTCTCATTTGTATTCATAGAAGTAATATAGATAGTCCATTACTAACTGGGTACACCCAAATTTATTGTCGGTAATTGTCGACACTACACCTCTCTTAATGCTGTCGTACATATAAATGGAAGTAAAGCCAATGTAAGGCGTTGAACTAATAACAATTCACTTATGTCTCGTCAAAAACTCGTGTTGAAAAGTTAAGTAATTTGTGCAGATAAATACGAATATTTGTAAAAAAGTGTCAACAATTTATTTGAACAATTAATTACGAATATTATAAAAATATATACGAGTATGTAACTAACAATGAAGTTAATAGGAGTTGACAGCGCTTGTCATATAAGAAATATTAAACATATTGCAATAATAATACGAATATTTATAAATTCATAGTAGGAAACGTGAACAAAATAAATATATTATTATTTTCTTTTTATATTTCCAGATTGATTATATAACAAACTTTGCTACTGTAAAAAATGTAAAAAACTTCATACACCATTTGATCTGATCGTTGTGCCGTCATAAAATAAATGTAACAAAATCACATACCTACACTTCAAAGTTTATTTATAAAATATTTGAAAATAAAAAAACACAACAACACAATTGCATAAAATTATCTTAAGAGGAAAAATAAGCAAACATAAAAAGAAACAATATTTTCCAACGTTTTGATATCATTAACACATAATCAGCGCTGGTCGTGGCGCAAAAGATACTTTGTACTCATAGCATAACACATTAAGTTGGATTGGAGCAGTACTGCAAGCAATGGTTCGTGAAATTTTTTATTTTGTTCCCAGTCGGCAGTAGAGAAGCACAGCATAGAGCATGCAAACAGAATTAACTAAGCAGCAGCCTATTAAACGACCCAGCAACAGCAAGACGGATGCACAGCCACAATATCATCATCATCAGCAGCAGCAGCATCAGCAACAGCAGCAGCATCAGCAACAGCAACAAAGGTGAAGAAGCGATGTACGACAGTGCAACGAACAATACCAGACATCACAATTGAACAGGCAAGCTGGTGGATGCTTGAGGTGGCTTCTTCGGAGAAGTATCTAGACCAATACGATTTTTTTGGTAAGACACGGCCGTTCTACTAGGCACAGTAGGAAGTAGCTATTGCTGTTGACAGCTAAAGAACATAACATACCATTTGATTTTTGCCAGGAACGCTATAAACAAACATTGCGGGCACGGAATTACAATAGTTTGGAAAAGTTCTTATAATAAATAGTTTTAATGAAGGAAGAGTAGCGAACTACTTTGACTCGAATTTGATTCGCACACTGACGCTGTAACAGTTGAATGTACTTAAAAAATACTAAAATTTCTAAAAACAAAAAAAAAGGCACGTACTTTAAGCGCCATTGTGCAAATTTAACACAACTTAACAAAGAGTTAGATTACAGAACAGACACACTTTGTGCATCTAATTTGCATCCAAACTGCACCTTGTGCACTACTCAAATATTCGTACATTGAAATAAAATAGACATTGTAAAATAGCGTGGAGGAAAAGTAACAAATTGAAAAACACGCTTTCAAAGAACGTGACTCTTAAGGTAAACATTTAAATAATATAAAAATCATTATCGACGATCACTTATCCGCTAACGCCATTTCATCCAACTTCGTCGTGTTGTATGAACACCACAATCAACAACAACAAAATCAATCTCATTGCTAAATGAAGCGTAATAACACTTGCATTATTTTACAAAATATTTCCCAGTAGTTTCGTTGTCATCATATCAACTTACAACAAGTAGACTCGGCGTGCTTACAACGAACAATGGATTTGGGCAGTGGTAGTGCAAATGCTGCTGCTACTGCTATCGTCGCACATACCTCTACAAACTCAAACGCCGTGATTGGCATTGAAGGCTTACAAGCAGGAAGGTCATTGGATCGACAACACCAACACCAACAGCAACAGCAACACCAAAACCAAAACCAACAGCAGCATCAAATTAAACATCAACATCACCAATATCATCAGTTGTCTCTGGATGACAACGATAAATCCCCATTATCTAATTGCTCAATTGTTAGTAGTTCTAACTCGACAACGTCGTCTGAACCTCATTACAGTGAAAACGTACGACGTCAATTGCCAACTGGCTTGAATTTATTGCCACATCAAGGCAGTGCATCCTCTACAAAAACTTGTGAAGTTGATGTAGGAGATGAGGAACGTGATACATATTCCCCAATTAGCAGCAGCTTAAGTAATACACCAAGTGATGCCGCGGCTCCAACTGCAGGAACAAGTTTAAGTGGCATTTGTAATGGTAATGGCACAACAAATGTGACAGTTGACAATAAAATATATGATGGTTCGCCTCTCCAACCACTTACATTAAAATCCAAAGTTAGCAACGGTATAAGCAGTAACGCATTGCCCGCTGCCAGCAAAGAAGAAAAACAAAGACAAAACGAAGAGATTGTTATAATGGAAACATCGTCCATATCATCTGAGACTGGTTCTTGGGAGTCGGTGTTTCCGCATAATGCAGTAGCTGCAGCCAATATATCGCAATTACCACCTGTCACATCATCTAACATTTGTGATGCTGACTTACGTGATTGTTGTACTGAATTTTTATATAATGAACGCAAAGAACCAACAGAGGAAACTGAGCAGTATGCACATGTGCCGAGAGATGAGAGTAATTTAAATAATCTCAAAGAACCAGATATTATGCCATTTTTACGTGAACGTACTTATTCTGCTGGCGCAACAGTTACTGCTGATACAAGTTCCCTGTTCACAGGTATAAGTGCCTCCTCATTGTTGCGTGATTTTGAAAAACGCGAAAATCCACTCTCAACGTCTGGCACAAGTGCTTGTTTTATAGACGCATCATCCTTACGTGATGAAGATGAGGTACTATCGTTTCCTAGTTTGGATGGTCATCAATCAAATGATGAACTAGATACACAACCTTTTCATCAATCTAAAGAAAAAGATGTTGAGATTGATGTTGAGGGAGATTCTCCTACTAAAAAACTCGAAACATTCCACAAAGCATTCGCCAAATGTAAAGTAAAATCTAAAGAATTAATCGATAACCCAAATAATCCTGTAGATGTATCAAATTTGAGTTCAGGCTCTAATTCGAGTGCAGAATCCCCATTAAAGCCGTTATCAGTCGCATCAGCATCGCCTACAAACAATCTTTCGGATGAAGAAAAACTTTGGAAACGCGAACATGGCATACAAAAAAATCAATTTTCATGTGAGTTGAGAGAGAAAGAAAATGGTCGCTCTCAGCAGCAACAACAAAGTCAACAGCATTGTTCTGCTCATGAAGACGCAACGGAAGCGTCAGTTTCTTTAGCTGCGGATGTCGATTCCTCAGATTCATCAGAGATTGTCAAACTACGTAGAGAACAAGAACGTAAACATGGCCCATATGTTTTTCAACATAATATGCAACATTTTAGCATCCATCCATTAGCAGTTAGTCCCAAGTTTGCACCTTTATCATCAGCAGCTGCTAATGGGACACATCCAAGTGTTGCGCACACTGCACATAGTGATCTCAGCTACACCACAGATTATTCGTCATCTAGTCCAGCTCCAAGTCTTGTTTGGTCAGAACATGAACAACGACCGAGTACCGTTGGACGACATCATAATGAAGATTATGATTCACATATACAAAAACCATCAATATTACCTGATACGCCGCACAATTCTATTGTCCACATTGATCCTGGTTCCAGTAATACTTCTTCCATACATCGTGACTATACCTTATCCTCATCTCTCTCACATCAGCGCGATTCTGGTGCCTACTGTAGTGATGCAACAGATTCCCCAATACCAATGCCGCGTACCCCAAAGCGTTCCAAGTTCGATGAAGCGAATCCAATTATTTCAGGTGGTGTATCTATAAAAGACTTTACCATTAAGCAATGCGAAAGTCCACCAATAAAACGCAGAACCGATACCTGCCCAATAGTTTCAGGTGGTTTCATTTCATTAGACTTTGAGGCAACCAAACCACAAGATGAAGAAGATGAAGAGGTGGAATTGCGTGCGAAACCAAAAACTCGTAAACCTATACCAGGAATAGCTTCGTGGGTGGTTGATATGAGTGATTGCAGACCAGAGAGACGTAGAAGTACAAGTTCAACATCCAGCATAGATGCTTTGCCAGTTAAATTTCGAGAACGTTCTGATTCAAATAGTTCGCATAAAAGTGGATGTGGTTTTTATGTATCTTTAGATGATATGGATAAGAAACCTGAGGATCCTAATGTTTCTGAGGCAAAAGCAGAAATGAGCAAATCATATACAGCACCTAAGTCTACGGGTTTCTTTGTAAATCTTTCGAGTAGCGAATGCAAAGCAAAAGACGCTCCAGTTGAAGAAGTTTCAGATCAAAACTCCGGAGATAAGAAAAATATATTCAGTATGTTTATTGACATTGGGGAAAAGAAACCGGTTTCAAATGGTAATGGTAAACGTGAGCCATTCAGCTTAGCTCAACGGCTCTCCAGTTCATTTACTTCAAACCAACGTCGTATAGACGAACCCCTAAAGTCTAGCGCAAGTTCAACTGAAACACTGATGTCAAAAAGTAATAACTTTAAAACCGTAGTAGAAAATGAAAATGGTGAAAGTAAGTCTCTTGATTATAAATGTAATATTGAACCTCCAATCACCGTGGCTGCCATACGGCGAATTTCTCAGCAGCAGCGTGCTCAAAGTGAAGCTGCCAAACGACATTCTTGGAGCAACAATCAAACCAAAGACGGCACAACTCATGATTATAAACGCTCTATTAGTTTAACCGCTAATGGAGATGCCAAAGATAGCAATAGTAACGGACTGATGAGTATTATAGATAAGATCCCTCTAATATCAAAAACTTCCTCATTGTCTGTCGACAGTTCATTGTCGCCCTATGATGATTATACAGGTTCCAAGTCTGGTTTAAGTACGAGCTCAAATAATTCAGCACGCAATTCGATGTCTGGTGGTGAACGTGAGGAAGATGCGGTAAATGGCGGTATTGCCACCAGAATTAAAAAGCGACGTCGCGATGTACAAATCAACGAAACTTTCGATAAAAGTAGTCTCGCTTCAATAACCGATGGTGTACTTTCCAAAGATCTGTCACCAGGGTCAACTACAGACACAGACGATTTAACTTTCCAACAAGATGAGGAGTTAGCAACTCGCGAAGTAGGACTACAACAAGTACCACCTCCACAAATTCCGTCAAACCGATCATCTGCAATAATTATGGAAACTATCATTGAGGCCAAAGAGACATCATCTCCTAAGAAGTCCGCATCAAGTCATACAATGGAATCGTTACATGCAACTATAGAAAAACAAAAAATGCTTTTGGAAACCGTCAATGAAAATGCTGAAACTGAAAAGTCTGCTTTTGTAAAGTTATCCGATATGGATAAACCAGTCAAGTTTGAACTACAGTCACCCGACACAATGAGTAAAAGTGTAGGAAATCACCGTCAAATAAATCGACTTTTCCAAAATGAATCGAAAACACGACCACATTCTTGGACTATGACACGTTCCACAGGCAATAGTTTTTTGAATATAACTAACTCAGTGGATAATTTACGTAGTTTGTCACGTTTGTTTCCAAACTTTTCGAAAGAGTTCTCCAACTCATTGCCACACGACTTTGCACTTGAACAAAACGATTATATACAAACTGATATAAGTGCAGATTCAAGTCTTGCGTCTAGTTTCAGTCGCTCTGGCATGGATGAGTCTTCCATTTCTTGCCGGCAACCACGACGACTTGGTGAAGATTTGTTAAAAATGTTCCTGCAAGAAATTGCAACCGACATGATTGTAGAGGTAAACGGGCGTCGTATCAAAGCACACAAATGCATACTACGATCACGCTGTCAATACTTTGCCGCAATGCTAGCTGGGAATTCCAATCAAAGTGTCGTCTCATTGCAAGGGTACTCTTATTCTGCAGTTCATTTCGCGTTATGTCACATCTATTCGGGAGCTTCGCATCCACCCGACGGTATTAGCTTAATGGAGCTGGCTGCGTTGGCTGACCTATTGGGTCTGGAAGGATTGAAGGAAGTAACCGCGCATGCATTGAAAACAAATTATTGTCATAACTTCCATAAGCCGTGTTCGGGATGCATTGACGGTATACTGCAGGTATTGCCAGTTGCATTGAATCATGCTTTGGATGATTTGTACCGCAAGTGTTTACGTTGGACTTGTAGACATTATTTGAAGGTGTGGCCAACACGACAATTTGCACAATTACCACCAGATATCTTGGGCCGATGTCGGCAGCAAATAGTAGCTTATTTGGTAAGTAAAAAGTATATGTATCAGAGAAATTTTAATGTAACAAATTTTTCTAGTTTAGAGTATGTTAAAGCTTAATTGATACTATATTTCCTTTAAAAGCAAATATTATGAGCAACTCGCGACTGATAAAGATATGAGAATATTAATAAAAACTGATAGTTACTTTTTAATTTAACAACGGATTGCATTGTTTAGCCATCGTCACTGACTTTATCTGACATTGGAATTGTTAAAAGAAATTTAAGTGGTAAATTATTAAACTGATAAGAAATTGCTGATATATTAATGCGACCTACTTAAAACGAAGCAGCATGAGGACGGTATAATCTATTGTTTGCTCAGCAATTGCATTATTTTGATAATTTTATATCTAAACTATTTCATACTAATATATTTAAAAAAAATTATATAATTTTAAGTTAATACCATTTTAACGATGTATTTATTCAATCAAAACAGATTTATAGTAATCACTTTACTCTTACATTGCAGACGTCGGAGAGTGTACTCGATACTGTACTCGACTGCGACAATTTAGTTGCCCAGCTATCATCCTATAGGTGGGGCGGCATTTGCGAAAATCTTGTGAGAGATATTTTGGAAGCAGCCTATGCTTACATTGCTGATCATTTTGCTAGTCTAATTGCAAGCGATGCTTTCCTTTCACTCGGACATGATCGAAGTTGTCATATACCGCGCTTGGAGGATGTTCTACTACGTACAGCCTCGTCGCTGACTCCTGATCAAGCTTGCCGTAGTTATCAGCGTGTGACACGTTTGAACACAGTATTACAAGCTAAGGTACTACAAATGCCTGCAAATTTAGCCAGCTTGGCTAAAGAACTGCAAGGCTTACAAGAAGAAGATCTTGACTGGGATCCCGAATATATTCGATTAGTGAGCGCCATACTATCAGCTGTGGAACAATGTCTAATACGACAGTGCTCACGTGCAATGCGTGTTACTGCCTGGCAACGTATGGATTTAGATTTGCGTAAGAAAATCCAAACTTTAGCAAGACTAGAGCCAATAGACATTAAGCGTAGCAAACCAGTATCAAAGGCGTTTTCATTTGGTGGAAATACAAGAAATCAAGATCTATATCAGGTAAAGTTAGCCATACAAGCGCATACGAAACGTGCTTTAGCGCAGGATACACAGTTATACAAAGCAACACAAACACAGGATGCCGCGAATGTGCAAACAGCCGAACGTGGTGTACAAGCAAATCATGATTTGAGAGAAGGTAACAGTAAGTAACAATGCATTATTATTCAATTATTCTATTTCTAATTATGCCTACATTAATGCTTCTTTTGTAAACAGGTCGAATATTGAAGTCCAACTCTCGTGCACATGTGCCGCAAGCCCTTCGTGCCAGTTCACAAAGTGCTAATGTCTCTGAACGCAATAGCATTAATACTGCACACAGGCGTACACAATCTGAAGCACCCATACCAACCACAAAGAAGGTAGCAAAAGAAGCAATTATAGAAACAAAATCTAACGAGTCCACAAAACAAAAAGTACCTCGTTTGGCTGATATACGACCGCGTTATCTAGAACCACGTAAAGCTCGCACAGTAATTGTTAATGGCTCTACCGGGCCAATACGTAGTGCCACCAGTTCAAGCATACCAGCAACAAAAGGAAAAGGTCATCATTTATCATCTAGTGACAGTTCACGTCATTCTAGTCCAGCCGCTCGTAAAAATGCGTTGAACGCAAATAAAATTGGTACAAAATCGGCAAACATGTCGCTAGATAATCTCTCTTCGTCTACGCGGCGTAGTAAGAATTCTTTAGGCAAATCATCGGATAACGATCCGTGTAATGATTCTCTAAATGAAAGCATGAAAAGTTCTGTAATAACCAACAAAACTATTTCGCATGAATCTTTATCAGGCGTTAACAAACTATCTCGTTCGAATCCAGTTATACACAATAACAAAATAATTGTGAATAGACAAACTCAGAGTACCAAAATGAATAACACCAACAAATCCCACAATAGGCCCACAAGTATAAACAATAAGACAAGTCGTCATTTGCAACAACAAAACATTACCTCAAATGGTTCTAGTCCATCTTCGATTAATACTAACAAATCTGCTGCAAGTCGTCTGTCGTCGGTTAGTTCAACGCAATCTGCACGTGATATATACAAACAACGCTCAATTTCTGTGCCGGCACAAGATGTCACAACGACGACTGCTGGTCAGCGTCGCAGTTTTCTTTCTGCAAAATCACGTGAGATACTCGCTAAGCGCGCTGAAAAAAATAAACAACAACAGCAGCAGCAATTGCAGCAACAGACTAACAGTTCAGGTGATGAAAAGGTTACTCATCACGTAACTGGACCAATGCGTTCTGCTTCTCATACAGCAGTTACCACGCTGAACAACAATACACAAAATCGAAACTCTTTACCCTCGAATATTCCAACACGGCGACCCAATACATTGCATCTGAAGAAAACCATTGGCATAAACAATAAAGTCAACAATAGCAATGCAATAACAACAGCAAATAATAAAAACAAAATCACCAGCATCGCAGCAAATGGAGTGTTCAAAGCAGCTCAGGCTGTTAAACAAAAAATTGATTTGCTCATAGATACAAAAGCCACAGTACCAGATATAGCACCTATTTGCACAGAATCGAAATTGGAACGTTCGAGCACGTTTTGTAAAGAGAGTTCCGACCTCGAACTAAACGAATTGCAGATTATTGAATAGATACACTGCATAATAAAATCTCAAATTTTAATGAGGTATTTTTTTATTAACTAAATTTAAATTTAATAAATTAATAAATTTAATATTAATTTTTATTTCTAGGTTTAATGTCAAATATCTATGCGAATAATTTTGCAACAAATAAATTAAAATTATTTTAACTAACGTTACCCGTCTATGAATAACCACTGAAGTAAATTATATACTAAATTAGTAGACGCCTATAAACAAACAAAACCCTCCTTTAAGACAAACAATAAAAATAGTAAAATAATATGGCAACTCTAGTCATAAAAACGTTGCTTTATAAAGCTTTGGAGAAGAAAGCTGAATAAAAGTTGATAAAACATTTATTTTAATGAAAAAAAATGATTATAAAGCGCAAATTTAGTATAATTGCTGCAGAAACGTATTATATTTTTAGTTGTAGTAGTTAAAAAAATAGTTTGTTGCATTAAAAAAAAATTAATTGGAATAAAATTAAAATTTAACAAAAATGTTCTCTATTAGAAAAACAAAAACGAACAATTTCTGTTCAATTAAAAATGAATTAAAAAGAAATCAATTTTTGAGTGACTCTCATTCTATGCTTAAGATTTTATTTATAATTATTTTCAAAAAAAAAAATTAAAAAAACAAAAGAAATTTTGAAAAAAGAAATGTGTAAAATTAAACAAAAAACCTTTTTTGGTGATATTATTTGAACAATAAGTTAAGAACTTTTTATGAATGTTTTTAGTTATAAATAATTTTATTATATATCGTTAGTTTTAAATATTAATACTTATGTTAAAATGTATTTTGCTAAAAGAAACAATATTTTAAAAACTGCCTACCTACCTTCGACTTTATTTATAAATAAAGCCTTAAAAATTTTTTGTGTGTTTCCAAGAAATTTACACAAAATTTCGCTGAATTGAAATTTTAAAGAAACTTTAATATTTGGTAAAATGAATGCAAAATATATTTTATATTTTTATATAAATAAAATTAAAAATTATTAAGCAATAACACTGAAATTCGTGTTTTTTTCTTTATTTTATTATATTTTATATTTTTTTTTTAATTTAACTTAACATCTCTGTCCATTTTTACTGCGGTCTTTTGGAAATAATTTTTTCAATTTTTTTTTAGAATAACTTTTTTTAAATTATTTATTAAATTACTTTTACAAATTTTAAGAGAAATTAAATGTTTGTTGTAACTTTTATATTTCATACTTTTAATTAAAAATAAGTAAGCTCTTATAAAATAAATAAAAATATATTTATTACAATAAAAATATATACATACAAAATACAAACTATTTAATAATATTGTATGTTCTTCTGCTTTTCCAATATAAATTTAAAATAAAAATTTATTTAAAATAAACTTTGCTTTTTCCTTTTTTAAATAAAATTTTAATTGCGAAAGCAGTAAAAAATATTGTAAAAGTCTATAGTTGTTCATACAACTTATAAAACTCATTTTTAATGAAATAATTAAATTAGTCTTTATTTAAACCACATAAACATAATCTTATTAAATATATATTCGAATTCGAATTAAGTAATTTTTACCTCCTCTTTATCTTCATTTTCAACGTTACCTTGATTGGACTTAACCCATTCATTGAATACATTTCGGCAGTGTATGACAACACATTCATTGCTGCAGTACTCATCCTCCCAATCTGGATTAATTATCGCACGTTTCGTGCAACTGTCCCGCGCGCATTTCTGTGCTGATCCAGCTTCTGTGAGCAACTGAATTTGTGGTTGTGCTTCTATCTCGTTTGACGACGAATCGTCTGTTAGGTCAACACTACTCACTTGTACATTAGCTTTACCCCTAGTCAATATATCTGTCTGTGGCTTTGTTGCTTTCGTTGATCCCTCTGTATCAAGAATTGGGTTATTATCTCTTGGTATTGTGAATACAGCCGGTTTGGTTTGTAGCGTTTTATTGCTGACTCCCTCACTTTGTTTAACTTGTTGCTGCTGCTGTTGTTGTTGTTGCTGCTGCTGCTGACGGTAAAGCGACATTTGTTTCATATAATCGGCCCGTAACGTGTCAGATTTTCCTTGATATACACTTTTATGCGCAGCATCCAATCCCTCCCACATAGACCCAACAATGCGAGATATCTCTTGAAATGTACTGTCTGGATTCTGCTGTTTTATTGCGCTCACCGTATCTTTAAAAAATAATGCATAGGCTGATAATGGCTTCTTCGGTTCAGCAGATGTTGTAGCTGTGGATGCAATTCCGGGGTCTTGCAACGTGTCATCCATGCTGCGCACTCTTTGCGACTAGATAAAGAATATATTTTTTATATTATTAAAAGCAAATGAACGCTGTGAAAACAAACTTACTAGAAGTTTCTTCATTGATTCAATAAATATAAACTATAAATAATAAAGTAATGCTTTGTAATAGATTAGAATTAATTAAATTAATTTCTATCAAGACAACGGAAATAAAATATAGAATTTTATTTATGTCGAAAGTTCCTGCATTTCTTCTTATAATATAATTCTAAACAGACTCAGCCAATACAAAAGATTCGTTAGTAGTGATCTTTTGTTTATGCAAAGGTCGTTCTGTTGATTTGCCTTACACAATTTAATTGCTGTTGTCATGCTCACTGATAATTATATTTTTCTAAAACAATTTTGAATAATTTTTTTAAAAAATGAAAGATTAATTGCTTTGATTAATTTCTGATTAGTCTAACATAGCTTTTACTATAATGTGATCGGTTTTTAAATAGGTCTCGTTGCCGAATCATATTGCAGCTATTTGGTATGTAATAGCCTATGAATTTATAGATGAATGTTGGAAATGTAATATATATAGGTTTATATATAAAAACAATTGATATTACTCTATGCAACTTGTTAATAATAGATTGATAATCGCAAAGAAATGGAAGCACTGCAATATTAATTAATGTATATAAAATACATATCTAACTATTACACTAGTGGCGCCATAAACGATCGAGTATTTCAAAACCACGTCTCGTCGATAACTAAGTACCACTGTCGTAAAACTACCATTCATAGGCAAAGACTTACTTATGAACCGAGTTACTACCCACCTTATAACAATCATTATAAGGTGAAATATTCTGCGCTAATACACATACGAAATAAGCACCTGGAATGTAGATTAGATTATATTAGATTTTAAGATGAGTTGGAAACTTGTCACCACGTCACTGCATCCTTTGAGGATTTTTGTGACATACCTACTTCAGTTCCATAGACGAGTAGCAGTTAAGAACGCCAATATGTCTTTTGGAGAGATGTTGCCTAACACCGCTATATTTGGATAGGCAATGGATAAGTATCGAAATCTGAATCTGACAAGACTATCACAGTGACACAGAATGTGTTCTGCTGTTTTTTCTCCTGAAATGTATATTCTTATGAAAGAGAAAGAGCAATAAAACTTTGTAAAATAGGTTCTATACTACTTTTTATTGACGCAACAGAGCTTAGAGACCTACTATAAACCCAAAAAGGGGCACAATAGACCCGACGGTGGCAGTGCCACATCCCCTAACAATAATAATAATAATAATAAATGTTATTCGGAATAGAATTCAATATACAAGTATATAATGTAAACCGCATTGGAGGTGAACATTACTTTAATGACATTACAGAATTATGTAATTAATTAATAGTGAAATTATGGTGTGATATGATATGTTCATGATTAGTAAGAAGAATTATTTAATTATTTTCTTGTCACATTTTATGTATTATTCTTCAAGCATATCAAATATTATGTTTTTATTAGCATATATGCACTTTTTATTTAAGTACACGGAAGACGTTAAGTTAAAACGAAGTTCAAGAAGGAATGAGTAATTGAAAATTAACCTGATTCAGATGTGGGGATCTGGCCTCTTTAATGAAACAGAAAAATTATTAAATGCGCTAAATAGTGTAGTATTTAAAAAATGGAATAGATTTTATGATATATTGTGGAGTGAAGTTGCGTTTAGTTACGGTAAAAAAAAAAGTCCGAGAAACAAATGGTACTAGAAAATGCACCTGGCACCAGATGTTAGAATCTTACCATGAATCTTAATTAAGTAAAAGAACAAATAAAATGCGATATAACCTAAAGCAAATCTTCAATATTGAAGACAACATATCACTAACCGTAGATTTAGTTGTAGATTTACTATTTATAAGAAAAGCAAACCATGCAGTTTGTCTTAAGAATCGGGAAACACCTTATGTTACTGCCACATCAATCATAATGAATACAAAAATTTTAGGGTATTGCAATATTTACGTTTCTTTAGTAAACGGAACTCAAGAATCAACAGGTATTTAGATTAATCAACAGGTATCAATAGTGTAGCGCAACAAATAGCTATGTAGACTGGCAGTGAAGTGGCCTGACACGATAGCTGCTGTCATAATTTTGTGACAGTTTATTTAGTGCTTCACTGACTGCTGCCATAAGCAAGAATGCTATTTAGGGTGAATCATTTTCGATATCGGGAAGTGACGCATTTCAAAAATGTATTGTTATTATAAAATATATTTTTAAATGCAATATTTAACAATTAAAAAATATAATAACGTAACAATCGTGTGAGCACAGCGTATTGAATAAAAAGTGGATCAACTGATTTTATTTTTTTTTTCTATGTGGACCGCCGGTACTGCGCACTGTTGCTTCAACTTTCTGAACACACAATTTTAATAAAATTTTTAACACAATTAAATATTTTTCATAAGAAATGAATAACATAATAAATAGACAATTTGACTATTGAATAATTTATAATAAAATAAATAAATAAATAATTGCGCGTTTCCATATAATTACAACAGCTGAACGAACTGCTGCAAAAATCAATATCGCTATTATATTTCGCACAAATTGAGTTTTTCTTGATAAATACTTTAAACATTTTTTAAATATTTTATTTAATTCAATAAATATTTTTAATTCATTTAAGTTTTTTTGCTTACAGTAGTTTTGTTTAAAACGTTTTCTGGCAGTTTTTCACTTAACCAAATTTCACGTACTTGACTATCGGCGTACGACACATTGTTGTCATAATTTTTAGGTGTAGTTTGCGTTGTTGTTGCTGTCGTTGCCGTTGCCGTTGTAGCTTTTGTATTCGTTTCGATATCTGTTAAATCAAATTCTTCGTCTCCAAATGAAGGTGTATGGAATATTGTATTCATTACTTTTGAATTGAATGTTAATTGATTAAAAATACAATTGAGTTTGAAATAAAATATTTAAATGAATTATTATTAAATCAAGCAAAACAAAACAGCATCACAAATCTTAACAACCAAAACATATAAAACGGGACATTGCGATTGCAAGCATTGTACTGTTATCTCTTTTTCACGAAAGCAACGGCTGATACCCAGTAGGAAAGTTTTTAAATACGCTAGTGTACTTAGAAAAATAATTATATGAAAATGGCAGTGCAAGCAAAAAATATTTATGCAGAATATATTTTTATTTAAACAATAATTATTGCAATTATTTATACGTTCCAAAATTCTTTAATTTTACAAATAAAATAGATGATTATCATATTGTTTAAAAATGACACCAAATTAACTTTTTGTCTAAATTTTTATAGTAGTTTAATGCTATATTTATAGAATATATTACAGAAAATAATAATATACGATAAGTAATGATATTAATATTTTGAAATTATTATTGAACTAAATTAGTAAATAGACATACAAATGTCTATATATATATATATATATATATATATATATATATGATATTGCTTATCATATTACATTATAAAAAAAAAATATTTTTATACAAAAAAAAGTTATACAACACTAATACATTTCTTTCAGATGCAAAATACTGTAATGTTTTACCCATGGGTAAAACCAGGTGCACATGTCGTAAAATCTACTACTTTTCAGGTGCCAGTGAAACGGTTAATATTACACTAAGAATATTATGATTCACTATCGAGTACATAATTACAGTGCAACCGACAATAACACAATAGGTCTTTTCCACGAGCACTCGTAGTAATTTTGAGTAACACTGTGTATACACAACTACGTTCGACTTGCAAATTTTCGAGTAAATAAGAGCATCTGAGAGACCATAACATCCCTGTCGAAATTTGAAAATTGCTACACAGACTTTATTTGTACATTTTATTTCAAGTAAAATTTGTGTTGATGTATGAATCAGCTGTTTTAGTTCGAATTTAAATTTTTGTATTGTTTATTTGGGCGGTACTGGTGTTCTCACCAGACTTTACACAAAGCTATTCCATGAAAATTTGTGTAAAGAGCGTAATTTCGTACTTTATTTGTGTTACGCTATCAATTTGCACTTTACTTGTGTTTAACTTGAGGTTTACTACGAGTAGCTCGTGGAGGAACAGACCTAATATACCTATTTAGAGTACATTTACTTTGTTGTTGGTACTTAATAGCATAGCTATGATACGATTACTTTTATAAATATATAACTGATTACTGTTGTCTATAAAAAGTTACAATTTATCAAAAATTGTCAGCAAGCAATATGATTGGACGATTAAAGTTAAAAATGAAATAAGCGTTAATGCTAGAAATACTAAAATATCTTAAAAATAATTAGAAAGGACATCTTCTTGTGCTTCTTGTCGAAAATATAAACCATTTCATTTCCAATCTACTGAGCCTATATATTTATATCTATTATAACCACAAACAATTTCAGGGTTCCCGATTTCTGTATGTACCCGTCCGTTATCTTATGTAGTGACTAACATCAAAAAGTTATTTTTTTTAACATATGTCAATAAAACCATTCCGAAATACAAATAAATTATATCTGAGTTGAAAATCTTTTGTAGGATTAAATTCGGAAAAAACTAACAAGAGTAATGAGGTTATTAGAAAAAGGAAACCATATCTCTCTTATCGGCAAAAATATATTTTGAAAATTTGAAAAGAAATAAAAAATTAAGGACTTAATTGTGTAGGCAGGTGCGTGCAACCGTAAAATCATACAAGTATTGAAGAATGTTGTAGAAGAAGCGCACTGTGCTCAGTGCCAGGTTGACACAATAGATTGTTCATTATACATTCTGGTTAAAACAAGATTAGCAGATACTCTAAATTACACAATCATTCGAGAAGGTATATCTAACCTGCCCTTTGTGAAAGACATAAACAATTCTGGTTTCGTATTATTATTGTCATAGGGATTAACCTATTGTGTAATCTATTATCTGGTAAAGCCAAGAAAACAGTTTTAGATAATGGTAGGAATATTAGAGATAGACTAATTTACATACTAGGAGAGACAAGAAGAGTTTTTCTTTAGTTAAATAATTTAATATACCTTGGGAGAAAGATAAAAAAATTTTTTTTGGAATATTGGCGATAAACTGTCAAACCCACTTCTCGGAAAGACCAGTATAGATTTCTATATCAAAAAGTGAACAATAAACAGAGGAATAGTACCTATATTGAGTTCCATGGATATGGACTGTTTTACTGGTTTATAAAGAAACATTTATTATAAAAAAAAAGGTTTCTTTAAATTTTTTAAAATTTAATTAAATATATTTTTTTAAATTTTACTTATAACAAAAATATTTAATAATAAGAGTGTAAGTATATAATAAAACGTAATAAAATAAAGTTATATATACATATAAAATATTTAATTGTATAACAAAAAATATAATATAAAATAAAAATTTATAAAATTATTTACGAAAACTCTGGAGATAAACCCAATTTTTTAAAACAAATTAATTATTTTCTAAGAACTTAAAATATACAAATTTTATCTTTTATCACAATTCTTTATATATAAATTATTGTTATTTAAAATATAAGTTAAATTATTTATATCTGAATAAATATTTTTATATTAGATTTATATGCACATTTCACAAAACTAAGAAAGTAACCAATATCTTCATATACGTTATATTATTCATATATAATCAATAGTGATATATAGCTTTATAACTAAATTTAATTAATATATTTGATAAATATATATATATATATATATATATATGTATTCTCTTCATAAAGATTGTTTATGACTACAACTACTTTCGTTTTTGTGACTCTAAATAATTGGCGGTAAATGTGAGCAGCCGATAGCGTTGTTTGAGATTTCTCGCTCTCACATGAGCAGAGTTCACTTCTTCCGTATAACTACCTGGAAACCAACCCACTGCTCCATCACGTATTCGTTCTCCTTGATACCAACCTATAAAAACAAAATATTTTTTAAATTAACTTTTCATAAAATGCAGTTTCAGTTTCACATACCATCCGGAAGTTTGCGTGTTACATTCACCACATCACCGACCTCCAAATTTAGCACATCCGGTTCTTTGGTTTCGTACGTATGTTTGACAATGACTTGCGGGCAATCCCATTGTTCGTAAAGTTTCTCGCCTGGTGTTTCAGCTTCAGGTGGACGCATGGCTTGAATCCAACGCTCTTGCTCAGAAATAGATGGACAGGAGAGGACCTGTAAATAAGGCATGTTGTGAGTAAAACTAGATAATTCAGACATAAATAATATATAACTTACTAGTTCTATGGTTTTGCGTTCATGATTTTCGAGCAACGTCATTAATATAAGATTTTTACCAGTTTGGTTGATATCTTTGGTTGGCAATTGTGGCAGTGAGTCGCCCGATGATATGGTTAACATACTACGCGGACAATAATCGAAGACAGTGAATTGCTGATCACTTTTACGTTTAGTTAACACAAGTAAATCGGAGAATAGGAAAGCATATATAATTGATTTGGAGAATTTCTTGCCAAACGTTAATTTGATATCATCACCACGCCATATAAGATGTGTCAATTCACCCTTTTTCACAAGAAAACGCGGCTTTGACCCTGGCGCTGGTACACCAACTGGCGCTATGGCAAGTGCTCGTATCGTTGTTGGAAATTCGAGTTGTCGTGATATGCGCTCAATTTCGTAGGCTTGTTCACAACGATTCGCCGCTTCGTTGCATTGGGTAACAATTTTGTTCATAATGGCCAATGTCATTTTCCAATTATCGTACTCATCATCGTTTGGACTTACTTTACTGAAGACCGCGTCAATTAGTAATGGTAAACGAGTGATGCGTTGCATGGGTAACATTAGGAAAGAGTGTAAGTTAAGTCCACAACACGTTGAATCTCCTTCAAGCAAGTCTAAATTCTGTGAAAAGAGACCTTTAGCTTCTTTCAAGCGTCTTAAAGTGCGATCCATACGTCCTTGATGTTCACAGAACGCTATATAAACATGAAAACTTTTCTCAGCGACGGCATATATACGCTTACTCAGACCAAGCAGCATAATATTGTCTTGCCAGCACGCTTCTAGCTCAGAGAGTAAACGTTCCGAACATTCGTGCACAGGTACAATGTATGAGAACAATGCCTTACGATCCCGAGCACAAACAGTTTTAGTATCACGAAATATGGGATGATTCATGAAATGACTACGTAGTAAATTTAATGACTTGAGATAACTGGCTTCGGAAGTTAACACTTCGAATTTGGCTTCCTGTAGCGCTTTTTCTCGTGGAGTTAGTGTAACTAAAATTAATAAATATTTTTATTAGTATTATAAACTCAGTCTAGTTGGATATTGTTTTTTGCTTACGTAATATGCAAGAATTTATAACTTCTGGAATTTCACTCCATAATGTACGTGAAGGTCCATTCTTTGGACCTATTAATTGTAAGGCCGATGGCCTGGAACGTCTTTGATTTTCTTCGTTATGAGTTCTGCAATCAACTGTTAAATCAGTTTGACCAATTTCTTCATAGCCATCTGTGGACCCATCATGATCATCCAGATCGCGCGCAATGGCCTAAATGAATTATACAAAATGTAAAACCAAAATTAGTAAATAATATGTTCAGTTGCAGGAAAGAGATCAGAGGTAGAGGTTACTATATTTTTATCTGTATAATATATAATAGAAACTTAATTTCTGAAGAGCATACCATCATAAACATCATTATTGTTATTTCCATTTATTTTAAAACACATTAATATTTCTATCAAACAAAAATATTTAAGGATATATTATTTTAATTTTGATCTCAGTTAACTCTACACTCGCTATACCAATAATAGAACAAATAGATTCTCTGATCTCAATTATTCATATAAATAAAAACTTATTTTTTCTCACCTCTAACTTTGCGGCGCTATATATTTGATATAAAGGCTCGTTCAGAAACATGCTGTGCATATCATCACTCAAGCCACCCTCATTACCGGTAGATACACCAGAACTACCACTTGAACTAGCAACCGAAATGCCACTGGTTTGATAAAGGCCTGCTTCTGCATACCAAGAAGTAGCATTCGGTGTTGTAGAACCACATTGACTACTGGAGCTTTTGCTGCCGTTAAGAGATTCATTATTTACTGCCAAAGAGGAGCTGTTCTTAAAGACACCACATTCCGCATACCATGAAGTTGTGGGTATAGCACTGCGATGCTTATGTTTGGCGTCATCTGGCGGTGGAGGTGGAGGTTCATGTGGTCGTATACCTATTGTAGTACGTCTACGTTGTGCTGATTTGGCTTCCTTTTTCGACTTACGTGCAATTGTAGAGAATTTTTGTTGTTCAGGACTTGGCACCGTATCAGGCATAGGCAAGTCGCCAGATGATGCCTTTTCAGAGAAACCAGAATCTAGTTCCCCGGAACCGCCATGAATTGGATCTTCAATATAAAAAGTACTACGCGTTGAGGAAAGTGTAGAAAGCTGCTTAGTGTCAAAATTACTGCCAACTAAACTCTTACGCAAGCGTGATTTGAAACTTTTACCCGTTTTAGACTTTGAGCGTAGGGTGTTGCTATTATTGCCAATCTCACTGTTGGATCCATGTGAACTAAGATTCTTGTCCGATGTGCTCAGTGGTTTTACATCACTAATATTCAGACTTGGTGGCGTATGGAATTCGGTATTTTCATAAATATTGTCTTCTGCATTCGGTGATGGTATTGGTGGTGGCTTTCTCGTGGACTTATAGAGTTTTGATTTAGTCTTTGGCGCATTTTCATAAATATTACCATCTACATAGAATTGAGAGTTCTCATACAGTTTTTGTTGACTATCGCTGTGCTTTTGTATGGAATTTGGAGACTTTTTATTTGAGATGAAATTTTTCAATTTTTTAACCATGGCGTAAACTTGATTCGTCGAAGCAGGGGGATCTGGTAATTTAGCATTACGTATGTCTACACCGCTATCGTTGTGCTATAAGTAGAAAAATGTGATTACAATTTCAATCTTTAAAAAACTATAATTATTACTACATACATTTCTCATGCTCTCCTCTGTTTCATAGACTTCATCTGTATCCGTATCAAAAGAGTCATAATCTTCTGAAACGCCATTTCCAATCACATGCGGAGAGGCAGAATGTTTTTTCTTGTGTTGAGATGATTTTAATTCTTGTTTGGGTGAATCTTTGTTTTGTGTGTAGTGTTGACTATAGCTGCGTTGAACCACGAGTGCGGTTTGACGTTTAATCCCCAATGGCGACAAGGATTCATAGTAATGATCAGAATCATCTGCAATAAAAATGCGACAATAAAATATTTTTTACGGATGAAATATAAGTAAATATTTTTTTGTTGGAATTTAACATTTATTTTATGATAAAATATATTTTTAAAACACATAACGTGCTTATAAACCAACCTACGAAAGTGCTTATTACAACAGTTTCCTTCGACTTATCGTCATCTTTTGTCAACGCTCGAACAAACGTCACATGTTGACGTTGTCGGGTGTACGTGACTTCTTCCCGTTTAGAATTGATATTTTCATAAATTGGCTCGACAAGTTCATTTTTTTCATTCACTTCACTGTTAAGATAAATCTGACTCGATGGAGAGGTTATGTAAACTTCACCCGCTGCCCTAGGACGTCTTTTCCTAGGCATTGTGCGTATGGTTCCATTATTTTCCATTGAGCTATTTTCACTTTTATTTTGAATTGGTACGTTTGTTGTAGCTGCCATTTTGATTTTATGTACATAGTTCTTTTGATTAAAGTTAATTATTTAAAGAATTTTGTTTTAGATTTATCTAAAATAATGTATTTGAAAAAATAATAGTCAGTATTGAGTTAGCAGAAGTGCAAAGATTTATGTAAAACTCTTATCAATTTTGATCAAGAAATCTATTAACAAATAACTAATGCCAAATTGAACGATGTCTCCATAATAATATTTAATAACATATATATGATATATATGATATCCCAAGAAATGGGTATAAAAATAAATTATGAAAAAATCGATTACATATTAATCTTATCCACAAAATCTACTCCAAATGTCCTAAACATCGACAACTATAGCTATAAATACCTAGGTATTGTGTTTAGCGAGAAAAATCTATCAATGACTATATTAAAAGATGGAGTATAAGCTGGGAATAAAGCCTATTATGGATTAAAACTAGTAATTACAAGTAGTAATATTTCGCAGAAAACAAAACTAAAAATACACAAAACATTGATTCGCTCAGTAGAAACCTATGGCTGCGAGATATTGAGATTAACTAAAACTGAAGTAAGCAAGATAGCAGTGTTTAAAAGGAAAATACTCAGAAAAATTGTTGGCCCCGTGAAAGAAAACAGGATGTATTGCATAAGATACAACCACGAGCTAGAACGGCTAGCTAAAGGTGATACAATCAACAAATTTATAAAAAAGCAGCGATTAAAATGGGTTGTATATGTAATAAAAATGCCGGATATGAGAGTATCGCTTAAGATTTATGAAAACGAAGTGGAAACCAGCAGAAGAATAGGGCGACCAAGAAGACGATGGAAAGACAGTGTGCAGTAGGACTTAAAAGAAATGAACATTAGAAATTGGAAAACTAAAGCAAAAAACAGAGAAGAATGGAAGACTGTTGTTAAACAGGCTTAGGTTCTACAGAGACTGTATAGTCACGGATGATGATGATATATGATATCCTTTAAGAAATAGAAAGAATAATATCAGTACCTGTTTCTTAGGATAGCATTGCATCGTAGCACTATTTATTTTTTTTTGTTCTTATTGGTTTTTTTCTTTATATTTTTTAATGCTATTACCAGATCCCTAATATACTTGATTTAAATTGAGTACTGACTACATGCGCGAGTGAAATAAAGAGGTTTACTTCGTAATGGAAATGAATTCAACTGAAAAGAGAAATTTATAAGCAATTTCACATATGCAATATATGACTTAATTACAAACTGAATAACTAAATTTAACCAAATGTAAGTCAGTTATTTATAGTTTGAATAAATATGAAAAATTTGCCAGAATAACTGCCTTCTTATGCTGATTGCTTGATTTTATCTTTAGACATATAAAATTTTAAGAATCTTTAGTTAACTTCTCTTCACAATTTCTTCATATAATTAAAGTCAATTAGAGATGATTGCTTGGCATGCATTCTACTTGCAACCATTCCACTTTGCTTTAAATATGTATCGTTTCTTCAATTGGAAGAATGAAGTTTAAAATGAAGAGTTTATGACCTATGGGCACAATTAAATATACTGAAGCTTAAGTAATTAATTTTTGATGAAGCAGGAAATTATTAAAGTCTTCAAAACAAACAACAAACGAAGTTAATTAATGTGATAAGCAGTATAATATATTAATATAAAAACAATAATTTAAATATATATACCATACAATTTTAAAAATAAACAACTTTGCTATCAGCTGATTAACCATGATTCGTGTGACGAATAACAAGTTTGTGTTATTTAACGTGTTAAATTAGCGTATTGAAGATGTAATGCTACAAAATCAGGATATCGTGAACTAGGATTTGTGAATGTCATATCCGTATTATTAGAAATAAAAGCAGCAAATGAATATATACATGGTGTAAATATGATGTTACACTTATATGAAGTATAACATCCTTTCAGTAGCTGATGTCTAAAGCATAAGTAACTTCTACTACCCTAATAGATATTGAAAAAAAAAATACTTAACACTTAAGTTATGGACTTAAAACTATTAATTAATTAATAATGATAATTAATAAATGTGCTTACTTATTTATAAGAGTTATCCAGAAGCATTATTGTGCTCTGAGTAATATTATACTTATATATAATAAGATTACAAATTGATAGAATCGAATGTAATGAGATTCTGGGGGTCTAATGCAGCATAGCATTACGACTTTATAAAAAATTTTATCCTAACAATTAATTAAATGATAAGGCGAAAGATATTAAGAGTTTCGAATCTAAGCCGGAATGTCTTTTGTTGAGAATATCCTAGCTTATACACTGCAAAACTGGTTTCAGTTATTTTCTTAGTATGCATTTTTTTGTTGTTCAGTGACATTTCCCAATGAAATGGACTATATCGAAATAGAATAGAGACCCTAGATATAACATTTTGTTTTTGGCTGCGATTAAATTTGGTTAATAAATGTTATTAGAAGTGTCAGTTACGGTTTAACAGATGCAGTATTATGTCACATCCGACTTACAACTTTTACTAAGTCAATAACCTGTAGTCTAGCGCCAGTTAGTAATATCTTTTCAGGTTTCAAAGAATTATTGTGTAGAAACTTAGAAGTGGGTCAACTAATTCGACCATTGGTAATGAGTTTAAATAATAATTAAAAATTAATATTTATCTAATTTCATACTTAAAGAATAATAGTTTGGAATTGATCAGTCATTTTTAAACAAAGTATATCCACATACTTTTGATATGAGAACATAATTTATAGTCTGTATCTTAGTTACACATTAATACGCTGTTGTTGTAATTATGATATTGGTATATGAATGTATCTCGATCAGCACCAAAAACTAAATTAATTTAGTTGTATTCATTAGTCCATTTATCATCGTTACAAAAATATGGAACAGAATATAAACGCGGTACTGGCTCCCAGAGATCAGAATACACAAACTATTTTATGTTACTTTATGACCATAATTAAATAGAAGACACTCTGACACTTCTCCTTTTGAATGAAAGTCAAAACTTAATCTATTATTGTTTCTTTGAATAATGAAACGCGAGTTAGAGTCTAACGCACCTTATTTTAATAGTATCTATGCCCACTTTAGTGATTCACAGAAACAAGAGCTCCGTTCCATTCTTGAAATGAATTATTTAGGTAAATTTACAAAATAAAGTATGAGTCCCAGCATATCTTTCTGAGCGAATATATATTTGATTTAAGAGTAAAATTTTGAATTAGTGTGAGCATCCACAAAATCAAGCAATTTCGACACTCCGTCTTTGTCGTCTATTATTATCCTAACCTCAGACGTGAGTTTGGGAGTTTTTAACTCACGACATACCATTTTCATCCTGGGTAGGATCAAAGACGGATACTTACAGAAAATGTAACTAGAGGTTGTATCCACCTCCAAGTAGTCATAACATTCTCTCTGTCAACACTCTGAAAGAGCCATCTTGTTAAGAGGATAAACTAGGCTATGATAACGCGCCAGATAACCTGCCAACTACCTCAATTCCGTTCTACTGAGGACGAGGACTCTTACTTTTTTTACTATTTAAATGTAAGTCTTTTAATTTTTGAAATAAAAGAAAGAATGCAATTTTTGAAGGCAATTTGAACTCATACACACAAGTACATTCCCTCTAGAGAATTTCCACCGAAAGACGCTATCACATACAAAACTTTCTTCCTTATAATTAATTTTATTTCACAATACTTATTAATCGTAGTTTTTGAAGAAAGGTTAAGCAATAAAAAAAAGCTAAATGACTTTAAGGTAAACGTTGAATATGGCTTCGGTACTAAGTAATGTGATGGAATATTTAATGAGATATATGTGGGCGACTACTTTACTATGATTTCATCCCACCATCTCTCACATTATGCATCTATTTTAGCAGATAATAAATTTTAGCGAAAGAAAAATTAGAAAAGTAATTTTTTATTGCTTTTTATAGATTACCTCAACCAACCAAAAATAATAACAAAATGTTTTGATGTTTTTTCTCAGATTAATTAATCCCGCGCAACCGCTACTTAAATGCTAATAAGTTTGCGCTTCTCGATGATTTTCTGAAGTTCATTTGGGTATGAAGATATGTAAAAAATTCAACTAAAAACTTAATGCAGGTGTTTTCTTCCATAAAAAGCACTTCATAGATTAGGTTTAAGCTCGACAAGCATTCACAGTTGAATGAATCCGAGATTATTTTAATGTTAGAAACTCTTTGTATGCATAAAGTAGCTGAAATAATTTCGTTTCAAATTAATAGATAAATGTGAAATATTTACTATAGTATTACTATTACTATAGTATGTGGCACTGTGTGATTGTGTACACATTTAGCAGATACATTTTAGTATAAGGTAACTCTCTATACATATAGAGTAAGTGAGTTTTAATTTGAAACCATAAGCAAGGGTGAGCAATAGACCGGTTCGAAAAATACTTAAAAATGTTCCACAAATACTCACTCATAAACCCAAACTCGGAGTAGCGAAGTGTAGACATGGAACGATAATATTTTCACACTTTTGCGATTTTTAGTTTCAATTTTATTGTAGATACATTTTAAAATGTTTGTAATTTTTGTTTTTGGCTAATGTGTGGGTTTATCATCTGGTTGTTCCTGATAGTTTAACATACATGCAGCCATTTCTGCTTTTTTGTTAACTACTTAAATCAACAAAATTAAAAAAAATTTAACAAAATTTGGCATAAACCGGATTAGTTATTTCATTTATTCTTTAGAAAAAGTCATGCAAATGGCAATTTTTAGAAAATTTTTCAATTTTATAGATAGTTCGATAGTAGGAGGAACTTTTTATAAATAATGTAGTTAAACTCCGTCTTCTTCTTCCAGTCCATTTTTATAAAAGAACGATTTGGCGTTATCAGTACATTATAAAATTTGGGTTATATGAATGACGCAGTCAAGCTGAGTCTAGCAAAGAGAAACTTACTCAACTGATGGGAAAATTATTACACATCAGTCAACATTACAGCTTCAAAATAATCCCATCTAACACAAAGTCATGATAATTCATAGACGAAGTATGAACCAATCAATTCTGGCATT